CTGGCTTAGGACTGTTCACTGGAACTCTAAAACTGCTTTCTATGCGAGAGCTTGTTCAGATTCCAGCTTCTCCTCCACCATCTTCCCGGAACTCCTGATATCTTTCAATATTGAATTAAATTGGAGCCAGCTACTATTCGTTGGAAGATGTGTATCACTGTCAAATGTTGCAAACACGAATGTATATTTTACATTGTACTCCAATTGGCAATGGATGACAATTTTAATGATCCGGACTAAACATGATACACAGGTTAGAATGATTTCAAACTAGTACAAACTCTGCTTTTAAAGTGAGCCAAAGTAAAAACTAATAGACTCAAGAGCATTTAGTTTGGTCTAAAGCCTTCCTTTAACCTTGGTTATGCTATAGGTCAATGGGTTGTGAATCCTCTCAGCTTTCATATGTCTGACAAATTCCTATTGTACCTTCACTTTTTGACATTTGTTTTGTGCAGAGAATTCTGGAATGACAGTTTTTGATAAATCTCATTCTGTGTGTTCATGTCATTCCACTGCCTTCCAGCTTCCATTGTTTTGGATGAGAAGTATGCTGTCACACTTATCATTGTCTCTTTGTATATAATGTACAAATAATTGTTTGTAATATATATAATGTGTTTCTGCTCTAATTACTTCTAATATCTTCCTCTGATGACTGGTCTAATGACTTTTATTCTCACATCTCTTCGGGTTTGTGTTTGTATCTCTTTTTTTTTTAATTTAATTTTGTTTTATTTGTGAACATACTGTACAGAGGGGTTACAATTGCATGGGCAGGATAATGCATACATTTCTTACCAAGCATTGCATCCTCCTCCTTTGTTTACCCTTCACATCCCTTCCCAGCCTCCCCCCTCCCCCCCAATCCCAATCCTTCTCCTTCCCCCCCTTCCCCCCCCCCCACACCAATGTTGTAAAGCTCATTTTGGACATGACAACTTGTACTTCTCATTGTTGCATCAGATCCACCTGTATCCTTAAACAACTGGTTTTGTTTGTATCTCTTGTCCATTGGTTTTGCTGGGCTTTTCAGACCTCTGGAGTTATAGATTTCATTAAATTTGAAGAAAAATTCCATCATATTTCTTCACATTTCTTTAACTCCTTTTTCTTAAACATATATTAAGCCATTTGAGGTGTTAGTCTCATTGCTGTCTGATTCTTTGCTCATTTTCCTTTCTGCTTTGTCCCTTTGCTTTAAATTTTCAATGGATTTAGCAATAAATACTTAAGTCTTCAAGTTCACTACTCCTTGCCATACATCATGAGAAATTTAATTTCTTTTTTTAACTAATATGTACCATTTAAATAAAATATTTTAACTGGAACATTTAATTTCATGGTAGGATGGCAACTTTCTATGTACTTTACTTTTCCTGTTACATTTTATCTCAATTCAAAATATATTTGCAATTCTCATTGGTTTAATTAGAAAATCTATTTGTATTTGGGCCCACTCTCATTGCACTTTTACTTTAGTTGAGATTAGTGAGAAAATGATTAGCCAGGTGTAGTGGGGCTCATGCCTGTAATCTGGGAGGAGAGACTAAGAGGATCAAATTTTGTTATATAATCAGGAATAAAGCTAACAAGACAACATTTCAGTGAGCAAGTTGAATGTAAAAACAGTGCTAGCTAGAAGGGAGGCATACATAGGAGGGTCCCAATACAAGACCTTCTGGAAAAAAATCCCAAACTCTATCTGAATAATAATTAAAGCAATGAAATAAGTAAAATAAATAATAAGGAGTGGAGACATGGCTTAAATGCTCTTACATCAAAGGTAAGGTAAAAAACCTTGTTCAAGCCCTATTGCTTGCAAGATAGCAACAGAGAAAAAGCAAAAGTAAGGGAGGGAGGGAGAGAGAACATGTATTTTGTTACTTAGTTTTGGACATACAATGCTTTGATTTTTGTCTTGCCAATATTATGAAAAGAATTAAAATCATACTTTGGGCATAGATAAGGTTTCTATAGACAGGAGAGAATTCATGGTACTATGTGTCTGTTAAAGAGAATATATTGAGAAAGCTTTGGGTAGATTTTTGTATGCGAGTTTAATGGTGATTTCCAAAGGATCTTTGAGTATCTTCCACCATGCAGAGACAGACAATACTCACTTCAACTAGGAAGTATCACATTTGGACCAGATTGAGGGGTCAAACCTTGGTGCCTCAAGATACTTCGTGTACTAGGACAAGTACTGGATGCCGTGCAGTGATCTAAATCTGTTAGGGCTGGAAGCCTTTATGTGTAGAACTATTTTTAATCTCTCCCATGCTAACTCTTGGCTTTGCTTCTCTTTGAGTATTTAACAGTCCTTTGAGATTTTCAGATTTTCTCGGCTGGACCAGTAGGAATCAAGGGAAAACACTTTTGATTCATGTTGGTAGTTATAAGGGAGAGAAGCCCAAGAGGAAGGTAAATTTCTGGAACAAAGGATTCACTTGGTTGACTTCATACCCCAACTCCACGAAATCCTTTCTTTTAGAGATAAACTTTGCAGAACTTTCATTTTACTGATGTGGATGTAATTTTCCCAGACAAAGGCATTTACTCCCCATTCCCTCCCCCATCCTCTTCAGCAACATATACTCCCTCTCAGTGTTGGCCAGCCTTGATCTCTGATAGTTGGCAGCTAATGACTAGGAGGAAATTAATTGAAAGGTAATTTAAGAGTTTTCTCATTCAAAGGCATATTTGCATTTCAAATGAACACCCTTAAAAGATGAAACAGTATTCTTTGCTTTAGGAATTCATCCTTGATGGTGGAATTTCAGCAAGAGGGAGGTCTGTGAGGATGTCTGTGCTGTCCATGCTTCTATAGATTTTCATGCTGATACACAACTCTCTCATCCCAATCTTGGTTTAAAATGTACTTTTCAAAGGTAAAACTCAAGGTTATTTGGGAGAAAATTTTATCTATAAATCCCAAGGTAAATCTACTATCTTACAATCTGAAAAATCAATTAACTACATATTTATGATGTGTTACTTATTTGTCAATGAGTTAAAGATAGCATACAATGATGATAAGGTATATACCCAAGGTGGTGTGCTGTCACAGTTTGCAACATTGGATTTGGTTTATGAAATAGGTGATTCACATATTCCAAAACCAGCATCATGCAAGTTGTGTGTTCCTAGGTGTTGTGAAGTAAGCATGTATTTAATTTTTCTACTTGATGTCAGAAATGATGTAGAAGGCTAAATTATGGAAATGTACTCTAAGAAAACACCATGTGAGATCTCCACATTCTAGTTTTTAATGAAGTGAAATGTTCTTACATTTGCATTTCTCTTTTTAGGTACTCAGAGGGTGATTACCTTCAGATGATCACAAATATACAGAACTGTCCATGGAGAAGGCAAGCAGAAGAATATGAGAACTTCAGGTAAGAGGATTTCTCATAAGTGATGTGAATGAAAAATATTTTGCTTTTTTTGTTAGGAAAATAATCAGAATGTTAAAAAAAAAAGTCCCTCATGTGAGATGCTTGGTACTCTATCTCCATTGCTTAAAATTCTGCTACTGTGATCAATTCCCAAATCTTAAGCCCACCAAAACAAATTAATGCATTTCATTATATCTAAGATGATGTTACATCTTTGTAACATGTCTATATATTTTATTTTGTAAATAAAAAAGATGTGAGAGCATTCCAGAACTCTTGGAGCATGTAGGATGATATTTATCCTTAAACCTTATCACTTGAGAACAAAAAGTAATTCAGCTTCTTACACAGTTCTATACAGTTTTCATCACTAATTTCATAGCAGAGTGATAGTGAAGAGCATAATGTAAAGAAGAAACATCAGAAGACATTAGCTTGTTGGTTAACCATTAAAGAGCCATTGACTATGCTTGGAGAATTTGGAGCCCAGTCACAGACAGAAATCACTTTAATTAAAGCAGTAGGCAGCTTGGGTGCATATGTACCCCCCAATACTTCCACCTCTCAAAAAACTGGGTCATTGTGTATGCATGCCTGGTCTAGATGATTCTAGATTTTGTTTTGTCATCTGCATTCTGATTTTCCCTTGTTTTTTCCACTAGGCTTCGACTTGTGCTAAGTTATTTTATTACATGACAATTCAGAGACATGACTTTACTTGTTTATAATTTCAAAGCTTACTTTAGGTATTATATTTAAAGCATTATTAATGGGAATGCTTCCTCTCTGTTTTTTTGTTTTTGTTTTTAGTTTTTGTGGGTTTTTTTTTATTCTTTTTCTGAGGAATGGCCATTCTTGTTGGCATGGTTTCATGGCTCCGCCTGGCCTTCCTTCCATCAGTTAGCTGCCTCTAATTGTATGAGAGAGGTTCTGGTCAGCTTTATGGAGTGAAAGAGTGGTTTTGTGACTGGGTCAAAGCTGGAAGTGGATGGGTGGAAATACAGGTGTCCTGACATTTTGCAAGCTGTGACTAAGCATCTTCCTCAACTGTCATTCTGGGATGAGAGGTTATGAGATATCCTTGTTGAATGGTTTCATCTCTAGGATACTTTAGGCTACCCAGTCCTGTTGGAGACTAGATCTCAGAGATCCTCATGGCAGAGAGATCTGATAGAGAGTTATGTAGACAATTGCAATCCAACAGGTAGCAAGAACGATTCTGAGAGCTTTTTGCATGTGCAGAATATGTTTTAAAAAAATAAAAAAAGAAGAGGTAGACACTGGGGTACTGACCTAGAGAGGGCCACTTCAAGATAATGACCTGGAGAGATGAGAAGTGACAGCAACAGTCAAGGCAGGGGTGCTGGAGTGTCTACTGCTGGTTGTTAAGTTGATTGAGACCAAGTCTCGTGAAGGAATTATCAACAAAACAAAATAGACTATACAGTGATTTAAAGGTATTGGCAAACTGCCAGGGCTGGGAGGCTTACAGGACTGAGCTCTACAGGGAGAAAGAAGTCAAGAGATGTGAGCCCATCCTTTGGGGCTGCCTTTTCTCACCAGACATTCGCTAAATATAAAATGTCTGAGAGGCAGAGGAACCGAGCTGAGCTTCCAGTGATCCCTAGAAGAGACCAGTTCTCAAAAAGACTGAAGCCTGCATTTGAATTATTTCCAACCTCAGTTGGATTTAGGAGATCTGCCTTTAGCCAAGATAAGTAACAGACACCAAAGTAAATCCTATCTGGAAGAAGATAATATTCCAGGCCTTCAATGATCTCCATAGGTTTTCTCATACAAAATTAGACTCAATTAAACAATATTTTCTCTTTCAAGTTTGTTTTTTGTTCTTTGTTTCCTCTTTCTTTAAAAAAAAATCATCCATCTCTTTTAATCAAAGGCTGTATGAGCATCCTGCCGTGGATCATGATAGAAGCTACATAGATGGATGATATGTTTTATCTTAGAACCATCTCAGGATAAAAAGTACATCAATAACCATGACAACTTCCCAGTGGCCTAACCAGCCCTTCAGGAACAATTTAAATAAACACCCAGGGCTCTGCTATTTATTGTTTGTTGTCTTTTGAGGGAAGAGTCCTCATGTCATTTATTTCTTTACTTGAATATGTATTATATTATAATGTTTACTTTGTAGAAATATTTATAAGGTAAATTATGTAAGTCCCCCACAGAAGTCTGTGCAAATTAGAATAAATCATTCACCTTCCTAATTTTTTACTAGTGTAGCTAGCCAAATCTGGGGACCTTTGCCTATTAATAAAGCTGGTAATATAGAAACATTCCCTATTATTGTAGATGTCAAGTAGCTGAATAGTTTCCATTTTATTTATTTATAGCACTTTATGTCAAATAGGGGAGTAAAATGTGAGCTTTAAAAAGGCAATCATATCCTTTCAGAAGACATTACAAAACTCGTATTCTGAAAACTATAACCAACTGACTATATAGTAAATTCATCTCCAGCTCAGATGTTGAAACTTCCTACAGTAGAAGTCTAGGAACTATCTGAAAAATATGTGGAACCCGTGGTCAAAAGACCCAAAACTAGAGCTGGGAATGTGGCTTAGTGGCAGAGTACTTGCCTAACATGCATGAAGCCATGGGTTCGATTACTCAGTACCACATAAACTGAAAAAGACCAGAAGTGACACTGTGGTGCAAGTGGTAGAGTGCTGGCCTTGCAGGGGGGGGGGGCGGGAAGCTCAGGGACGGTGCCCAGGCCCTGAGTTCAAGCCCCAGGAATGGCAAAAAAAAAAATCTAAAAGCTAGATGGTTTGTTGGGCACTAGTGGCCCCTGCTCATGGCTGCTCAGGAAGCTGAGATCCAAAGGTCCATGATTCAGAACCAACTTAGGCAGAAAATTTGTAAGACTGTCTCCAAATAACCAACAAAAAGGATGGAGGTGTGGCTAGAGTAGTAGAGTACGAGCCAAACAAGTTAAGCAGAATGAGCTCGAGGTCCCGAATCAAACCCCAATACTGCTGAAAGGAAGGATAGAAGTGTCCTGTCCCCATATATTTAATTTTTTTTTTACCACTAAAGGCTGCCAAAGTCAACAAAGTGTGTATTTATCTGCTATTAAAACTTTCCCTTGGGCTGGGAAGGTGGCTCAGTGGTAGAGCACTTGCCTTGCATGCTCGAGGCCCTGGGTTCGATTCCTCAGAACCACATAAGAAAAAAGAAAAAAGCCGGAAGTGGCGCTGTGGATCAACTGGTAGAGCGCTAGCCTTGAGCTGAAGAGCTGAGGGACAGTGCCCAGGCCCAGAGTTCAGGCCCCACGACCGGACCCAAAAAACAAAAAAAAAAAAACTTTCCCTTGACTGGGCACAGTGGCTCATTTCTGTAATTAGAGCTACTAAGGAAGCTGGTTTCTGAAGATAATAGTCTGAAGTCAGCTCAGGCAGAAAAAATCCAAGAGACAAGATCTTATCTTCAATTTACCAGCATAAAGCCAGATGTGGAGGTGTGGCTCAACTGGTAGAGTGCCAACATCGAGAAAAAAAATAAACTCAAGCAAGCATGCAGGTCATGAGTTCAAGTCCCAGTTCTTGCACCAAAAATAAGTAAAAGAATAATAAAAATAATTATTGATTATCCTCTTAGAAACGATGTCTCCCACCACAAGCCAAAACCCAGAATGCTTTGTGGAGAATTTACCTGCATTTTAGTCTAAGAAATGACTGTTTTTCACATCCATCCCTTTTGTGTTTTGGACCCAATGCCTCATTATTTGCTTGAGCTGTCCTGGTCCAATAGTTGAAACACTAAACATGATCAGGAATGTCTCTCCCTCCTTCTCTTCCCCACTTCTTCAACTTCACCTTTTAAAGCTCATTAGTAAAGCTCTGGAAACTTCTGGTAAGCAGTCTTTATTAAACCATTCCAAGATGTCTGAGCTTTAGTAATTAGTCTTATATTCCCTAGGTAACTTACATGGTAATGACTGAATTAGCTTTCTTGAATGGTTTCCTAACTTAAAAGAGCTGTGTTCCTTTGTATAATCAATTACAGAGTTAAATGCATACAAGGAAACAGCATTAATTTTCATGTTATTTCCTCTTCTTTTTTTGTTCAGAAATACATATATTGTTATTTTGCTTTAAGTTTCTTTTGGATCCTCTAAGACTATCTGATTTATTTAAACACTGTCATATTGGTGTTGGAATCTAAGAGCCTGAATATTATCAACCATGTGTTTACTGAAAACTTAGTTGGAGAACACAGGGCTGTAATTTAAATGCACATGTTAAAGTCTTAAGAAAATGAGGTACCTTTCAAATGACTCGGAAAATAGGTTATTTTGTGCCTGATTTCTTTGTCACAGGTAACTGTTAGGTACTCACAATTTTATTAAATCTCAAAAGTATCCCCTTAGGATACTTTGACTTAATTAAGATTTCTTGAAATTAATTCTATTTTCTTCCTTGTATTAAGTACTCAAGAAAAGTTGCCAGTGCTATATTAGTATATTGATGGATACCTCTACCATAACAGCTAATACAATGCTTTCATTTTTATTTTATCTGTTTGGAAAAATATAGTATTACACATGTGAAGTTTTTAAAACTACATGTTTCTTCCATTAAAATAGGGTGTTCTGGGCTGGGAAGGTGCCTCAGTGGTAGAGCGCTTGGCTTGCATGCCTGAGGCCCTGGGTTGGATTCCCCAGCACCACATAAGCAAAAAGGAAAAAAGCCGGAAGTGGCACTGTGGCTCAGTGGTAGAGTGCTAGCCATGAGGTGAAGAGCTGAGGGACAGCGCCCAGGCCCAGAGTTCAGGCCCCACGACCGGACCCCCCAAAATAAATAAATAAATAAATAGGGTATTCTTTTTTTAATTTTTTAAAATTTTTATTTTTATAGGGGTTACAATTACATGGGCAAGATAATGAGTACATTTCTTATCAAGCATTGCAGCCTCCTCCTTTGTTTACCCTTCACATCCCTTCCCAGCCTCCCCCACTCCCCCACCCAATC